TCACTTGGCTTTGAAGCAAAAAACAATGTCGATGTCCTCTTTAATACCTTCCATATTTGCATACGTTTTCCCAATAACATGGTGTTTTCAGCGAATGAAAAAGATGGTAATCTGATGGTGTCATATCTGCAGAATATGGTGGGTGGGGAAGAACTTCCCAACCCTACTCCATAATCTTGTGTTGCGTCAAACGTGCCATATGTAGACGTGCATTGACGTAGAGACGAACACCTTTCCGACTGACAATTGTATGAAGTCCAGGTTCTGGGGTCTAAAGTGGTTTTTGTCTAGGACTGAGGCATTGTTTTTTGGCGTTTATTATTCACATAGAGAATCCATTTTTTATCACCGGTGACAACTCTGTCCAAAAATGGTTCACGTGCATTACGCGCCAGAAGAGACGATGCAACGTTCATACGTTGGAAACGATGACCATCGGAGAGTTCGTGAGGCACCCAAACACCTTCTTTAAGGAGCTTTCCCATATTCTTTAGACGTTTACGTATTGTTTCGTGAGAGATATGCAATTTCAGGGCCATTTTACGAGTGTGTTGCCTTGGGTTAAACTCAACAAGCGTCTTCAGAGCATCAGTATTAATTCCAACATGTCGGCACCTGCCATCACAGTTTTTAAGGCTAAGTCACCTGAACAAAATTTGCTGAACCATCGTTGACACTTAAGAACGTTTAAAACATTTCCATAAACTTCTTTGATATTCTTTATGGCTACAGAGGCGCTGTTTCCCTTCTTATATTCAAACAGCATAACATGCCGAATGTGTGTTTCATCGTGTGCCGTCATTATAAGGAATTAGAATATACAAAACTTTACACATTATATAGGTTACACTAACGTGACGTTTAGGCTATTCATTTGACTATTACATGTGATGTACGTATTTTGAGGGGTGGTTAATAAAAGTGTTCCAAATCACGACATTAATTATATGACGACCTAATACATTTTATTCTTTTTACTTTAGCTTAGTTAAGAATAAATTTTACCATACATAATACTATCAACAAATAAACTTGTAATGTTATTCTACGACCTAACGTTAGACCTTATTGAAAACTTAGATAAGCTTCTAATATGTTGTTGTACAAAATGGCTACTAAAGTATCTTTACATCCGCCTTTTGTTTAGATCTGTTGTCCAAGACAGACAAAAACTGGGTATTTTTATAATAGATAAGACAACTAAATGCTTAGCTATATATTATAAATCATATAAACGCAAAATATAAGTCGCAGGTTTAACGGGACTAATTACAATATAAAATATTGTATTGAAAAGTTTACGCTGCTACGTTCTGGAATGACACATTCAAATATAATTCAATTAAGAGAATGAACTGATAATAGCCATACTGCATGAACTATAGATGATATGCTCAAAACAAAAATATATAAGTCTCATTATTTTCCGCCAGACCTGACCTAGTGATTAGCATGCTTGGGCTGTGAATCCAAAGGTTCATGGTTCGCGGCCAGTTGCTACAAAATCGAACTATACCCTTTAGAGCCATAGGAATGCTATATGAATGACGGTCAAATCCACTATCCGGTCTAAAAAGAGCAGATAAATAGCTGGCTGTGTGTTCTGCTGATTAGCTGATATATCTAATATATCATTTCAAAATTAGGGACATCTATGTGCAGGTAGCTTTCTTTGTTCGAAATTCTCAAAGAAATAAACAAACTTCAGATTATTTGTTGCCTGGCCTAAATTCTAGATGTAATGTTTAACTCTAGTAAGGTATCATTATTAATGGCTGGAGACGGCTTGAATGGGTAATGAAGAAAAACTTTAATATAAGTTTAACATAACAGCAAATGTACAACGTTTCGACAAGGTTTT